TTCTCAGGCCTTGGCAGCAAATGCACAGTTTTCTTGCTTTAATTAGGCTGAGATTCATTCCTACATGTGGCAGCTGCAAAGATATATTCTCTTTACAATTAGATGTTGTAATACTTAGCATTGCCTGGACTTAATTTTAAGTACATTTTGGTGGCCCTTGTCCCTCCTTTGCACCTTGCTTGCTCCAGGAGATAGCATATGGCCCAGTAATTCTTTAAAGCTCATTTTACGGGCCATTCTCAGGCACTTCCTACTGGCCTTTGGAATGAAGCCTTGTTTGTGACTGCATTTTTTGCTTATGCTCCTGCCAAATGCTTCCTCCAAAACCAGCAATAAAACCACAGGACCCAATGAGCCATGGTCATCAGAATGGCTTAATGAGAGCAACCTCAACAATCGGGGTCTTTAACAGCAATCAGCACAGCAGGACTAGTACCTTGTACACAAGGACAGCCTGGGCAGGTCACCTTTGTGGTTCATGGGAATATCTCCAAATATTATAAAATTTGAGATCATCTCAGGGAGCAATCTAAAACTAAGCTATTTTCCCTTAAGCAAAAATGGGTAGGACAAAAATAGAAACTGGTGGTTCTCTCCGGCTGTCCTCGTAGAAGAATATATCTAGAGTTCCTAAAGATCTTACAGAGCAAAGAAAATTCTCCTTGGGTCCTCCTCTGTCTACCTAATTCAGTGGACCTTGCCTCAGAAAATTATCCGAATAAAACCATGTTCCCAGCTAGCAGGAAGGTATTTGAAATACAGATTGGATACACACAATAGACCTTGTTCAAAGCATCTTCACGGGAGATGGCACCTTGTTTAAACAAGGCAAAAATCATGTCTATGATCTATGTGCCATTAAACAGTTATAAAATCTGAATTATTAATTAAAACCTGTGAACTAGTAGCATTTTGGAATGACTGTTTTGATAGCTAACAGGAATTGTGTAACTTTCGAGAGCAGTTGATTTCCTTTCATGTCATGTCAGCTAATAGAAACCCCATTGTAATCATAAAAGGCACGGGAAAAAATTGTGTGTCACAAGCGGGTGCTACTTAAGGGGAAGTGAACACAGAATACATTAGAGTACCAGTGGACTTATCAACTGTGTCTTATAGCCACTTCTGATTAGCAGTGAACACGTGATCAATGTGGCTGCACATGTGGAGCGGTGACAATGTGACACTGAGACAAAGTAAATCCAAAGCTTGTTAATTTCATAGAGTCATTGGATTTCTCATGACTCCTTTGTGACAGTGTTCTGCTTGTGTGACCGTTAAAACGTAATCACAATTTAAGGGGACCTTTCAAAAATAATGGTAAAGAAAGAAAGCACTTAATATCGTCACCTGTTATTACTACTAAAAATAGAAACAACCAGCTCAATGTATTGATTTTTGGTTTTAAGATAGTTTGTTAGGCTGATTTTTACTAAGCAGTCACATTTAAAGTGAAGCAAAACCAAGTCACAAAGGACTCCAAGTCAAGGCGATAGTTCATATCCGACATACGTAGGGTGATTGAATTATCCGTGGCCAAAGAAGAAAGGGAGCATATTTGATTGAAAACCCTCTATGAGAGACACACCCAGTGTGCCTGAATTATCATAAAACTAAAGACTGCTGATCAAGAGCAGGTGGAGAAAGGGAAGGGTGTGTTTTTGGAGTTCAGTAGAGTCCATCTTGGCCAAATATTTGTATTATTAAAAGTAGAGAATATATAACAATTGCTAAATTTGCATATCAGATCTGGTGCATTGATGTTATTGAACCTTATATGGACGGACAAGCTACCTGTACAAAAAGAACACTTATTTGGCAAACGGTCTGGTTAGGGCAAATAAATTGTGAATGCTTTAAATAGAATCATCCACCTTCTATTCATTGGGACTAGATCGTACTATTTAATTTGTATTTGGAGATTAGTATATCTGAACTTTGTATCAGTCAGAGGAAAATATAATGGTTTGCCCTAATCACCTGGAATTGTCACTATTAAGCTCCTACTCTATTCCGGGCTGTAGTCCAGATACATTAAATGCATTATTTTATTTAATCTTTATAACAATACCCTTAAATAGGTATATTTATTGAATTTTCTACCTTCCTAAATGACCTACCCAACACGCTCCCATCAGTTTCATTGAGAAATCTAAAACCACCACCCCCACCCAAAACGTTCTCATCTCAACAGCAAAAACTCTGCAGTTCATCTCTCACCAGCACACATAGCATTTGTACCAATGCTTCTTTCCTTACAAAGGTCAATCCTTCCACATGGGCTCTGATTACTATTGATACCTTTTGGGCTTTACGAGGACTTTAATCTATGTCCTGAATCATTAATCTTTTTCTTTGATTGATCATTTATGTCAGTATAGTACCCTAGCCCAATCCTTTGATGTTCTTCCTAGATTCACCTCTTGCTTCCTAGTCAACCCCAAGGAGGTTATATACCTGTGCTCTGCATCCTTGTCTACTGTCTACTCCTCAGTTCATATTAACTTTTCCTCCAACTCCATGGAAACAACTCTTGCCAGGATCATATATGAACAATAACATCTTTTGTCCACATCTTATTCCATCTCTAGTTGCTACCTACTGAATCTCCTCTCCTCTCTCATCTCTGTGGTTCTCTGAGATTCTCTGTGTTTCTCTGACTCTAAATGCTGCAGATTTTCAGGGTTACATACTAGATAACTGTTCACCAAGTTGCTCAAACCAAAAGTTTGAGAGTCATCTCATGGGAATTATAATCATTCCTAGGACTGTAAGTGCTGTCTGTAAACTTATATGTCTCATTTTCTATAAGTCTGAGTGCAGAGCTCATATATTTCATAGTCTTTATGACATTGCCACTTAGATAAGCCACAGATAATACAAATTAAAGATATCCAAAACGGAATTCTTGAATTCCTATAAATGATACCAATAATTTATTCTAATGTTAAAGAAAAATATAAAAAAAACATGCACAACATGTAATCTTTAGAACATTTTCAAAGATAAACAGAGATGTAAGTACAGATTTAGTAATCTCCACATCCATTCCCTCCTCTAAGGTAACCAATGTGAATGTTGAAAATAAAATTCATTCCATAACTTTCTTTATGCTAATTTAACAAAATATTCATATTTAGTTCATTTTCTTTCTTTCTTGTGTAATGGGATAATGCTGTAGCAACATTCAGCTACTTTGTTCTTAATAGTATGACATTAAGAACTTTCCAAGTCAATCCATTTAGTTTTAATTTATTCTATCTAATCAGTGATGAAATGTCATTCTATACATGTTCCATATATTATTCAATGATTTGCATTGATGTACTATTGGGTTATTTCTAAGTATTTTCTTTGTATTTTTAATATAATCCAAGTATATTATAATAGACCATCATGTCCTCCTTACCACTATAGTCTCATTGAAATTTATTCCAGCAACTATGCACCAAGAATACTGGCTTCTTTTTAATACCATAAAACTTCCCTGCATTTTCCATGTCTAGAATTTTAGTGCTGCTTTTTATTTCTGGAAGGAATGCGTTCTCTGTTCCATGTCATCACTGCATGGCTATCTCTTTCTCATCCATCAGATCTGTAGTTTCTTCCTTTTCTTCATAGGATATCTTAGTTGGGGTAAAAAGTTAAACTATTGTAATAGATACCCCCAAATAAATGCCTCAAACAAAATAGATGTTTACTTATCTCTAATATGGTAATCTAGAGTTCATGTTCCAGATCATCTGTTCTATGTAGTCATGCAAGTACCCATGTTAATAATGGCTCTTTTGTGTTTAAGAAATGGCTTCCAAGATCTCCCATATCATGGAGTAATCTAGGTGGGGGTGGGGGTGGGTGGATGGAGAACATCAAAAGCTGTGGAAATTTCCTTCCTAACATAATGGTTGGAAGCTTCACTCATAATTTCTACTTGTTATGTGTAGCTGCAAAGGAGTCTGGGAAACGTATCCTCTAAATAGACAAGTATGTTTGATCTGTTAGCCTACTATTAATACTATGGAAGAAGGGAGAATAAATCTTGCTAGACAATTATCAGTGCCTGCCTCAGGACACTTATCACAGCTTGGAAATGATACATTTTTTTTGTTTTATTAACCAGTCCTCTGGTCTTCCTATAAGAGGGCAAGCACAATAATGGTAAGCTACAGGCCTGTTTTATTTATAAATATATCTTCTGCTCTTAGTATTAATACCATTCCTACCTTTTAGCAGGTACTCAATTCATTGAATGACTGTCTGAATGAAAAGATTTTACAGGGGAAGAAGAAGTTAAACAATTTATCTATTCCTGGAGACTGGGTGACCATTATCCAGGAATGTTGAAGGATTTAGACCTCAGTTGGATGGTTTAACAAGATAGCTAGTAAGCTCTCTTCTAACTCTAAATTTCTATGATTCTTCAATGTAGAAAATCCCAACATTCCAAATAAGATCATGAAGTAGCTTTGTGAAGGAATTAATAGATCAAGAGGAAATACAATGTATACCTTCTGTCTCATTGGTTCTGTCTCATGGAACTCTTTGCCTCATACCATAGCATCTTAAATTCTCATAGATTCCAACCACACATTAAAATGGTAACTATTAATCTAAGATACTAGAAGACTACAGCAAATTTGCTATGTACCTTTTTATAATGATACATTTCCTGAAAAAGAAGAGTAAATATGTTCTGGGTTAAAAGATTTCCTGTTGGGCTACTGACTATCTGGAAGAATAAAAGTAAACAAATATTGAGTAATGTTAACAATTGCCTTTATCACATACTTTGTTTAATTATATTAAAAACAAAGATGGAAAAAAAACAGCACATTTTGAGAAAGAATAATCAGTGCAGATAAATTGATCATAGACTAAATTCTCTGGTCAGCCAAGTATAAGTATCCATTATCCTTAATAGTAAAAATATGCTTAAGATTCTTGTCTAAAGTGTTTCTTCTGCAAAGTAATTCTACACCTGCTTTTATTTGTTTTCCAAGATATTGACGACTTTGAAACCAAAACAAGAAGCACGGTGTCTGTTCGAGAAGGTCAAGGTGTGGTGCTTCTCTGTGGCCCCCCGCCACACTTTGGAGGTATGCAGGGGGGTGTGGGTTGGGGAGTAATTTGGGTCACACCGTTAATGTGACATAGGCACTTCAGGTTTTGGAACCAATGATAGCCTTTCATCAAATTTAAGGAGCTATGAAAGCTGATAAAGTTTATCTACTGTGTCCAAACAGTTTTACATCCAAATATTTTCTTTTAAAAATATTTGTTTAAGCAACCACTCAAAAAATATGTCCTTAAGGAAATGAAAGCACAGCACTGTACCGAGTGTGAGTGTGGGGCTTTGTAGTGACCACAGCTGTCACCTGGTGCAGTGACTCACAAACTTCATGACAATGGGCAATTTATTTAACCATCTTGGAGGCTTGGTTTCCTCATCTGTAAAATAGAGATGCAAACTGATATTTATATTTCAGTGTCTTTGTAAATCATAAATGAGCTAATGAATGTAAATTGATTAGTGCAGTAAATAGAACTTTAGTCGAAAAAGGAAGTTAAAATGGCTATTTCATTTTTATTTGGGGGCTTTATGGAGAAGAAAATCTCAAGCAATGCTGCTCTCGGCAACCTCACGTTAACGATTAGAAGAGAGAATTACCCCATTAATTGGAAACACATTTTCGATAGTACCAAATGAGCATATTTCCTAGCAATGGTAAAAACCAAACAGTAAATGCCAACCTCTACTTTAGAAGAATCTGGATTGGTCAGTGAACTAACCTGTTGCCAGGGACCAAAACCACCTACCAGGATTGTCCTCCCATTGCATTTCTCAAATTTCAGATGATTTGCTAAATTTAGTCAGAATTCTCAACTAACAGTGAACCTGGAGGAGATAGTGTGAAAGCATCCATGAAGTCATTTCATTTGGTATAATCCAATATCACACTAACTATACAAAATAACAGCAAGGACTTACACAGCATAGATCTAAGTACTATACATGTATTTCATTCTTAAAGCCTTATGATAACCTATGAGGGTTGGACTAGTATAATTACAGTTTTACAGGTCCAGTACACTAAAGAGAGAGGTAGAGGGAGGTTAAGTAACTGGCCCAAGGTCATGCAACTGGCAGACCATGAAGCCAAGATTCAAATCCAGCAAGTCTGGCTCTCAGACACTCAGCTTTCAACCACTGCTGCCTCTGCTATAGTTGACTCTCACTCTGGAATATGGGAGAATTTTGGAAATATATAGGACATATGTTTAAAACTAAAATGCAAGCAAATTTTTTCTAATATCAAACGAAATCTTATTTATGGAACCTTGGAAAACTTGAAAAGAGTTTTCTATCATTGTTTTTATTTTTACACCACCTCATGAAATGCCATTACAAAAAGAAAACTAATTCGAAGTTTACGATATCTCATTCAGTACTATTACAGAGTATTATGGCATTATGCTCAACTGAAATGACAGGGAGAGTTACATTGCTTTCGATGCTATCTTGAGATAAAATAATATTATTGCAAAACACCCCAAAATTGCTTAGGCTCTTTGATGGTGTTTATTTTTTAACCATATGGAAAATTATTTTCTAGTACCATAATCTAAGATGATGAGACATGCAAAATTATATCTGTTTGTGCAGGAAGTCTATGTCATTTTACGCTCTGATGTCGTTCAAAGATTCTTGACACTATTGAAGATTGTTTTCAACTTTGTTTACTCTGATCAGGAATAATAGAAATGTAAAATATTTGTAAATGAATCAGTTACATGAGTAAAAAAATCAAAAGATGCAGCCAGACAAGAGATTTCCCTTGTTAGCTTGTCTCCTACCAACGTTAAAAGAATGTTCATCTGTTAAAGTATGTAAGGCTCTCATTATAATAGTACTCCTGGGATTAATGCCTTAAAATTACATCAAAAATATGCAAACCTTCCTTAAATTAAGACCTTTGCAACTGAATAATTTTGTTGCATAGGAATATGGCAAACTCAATTTCATTATGATATAGGTAGTATTTTAGCATGTTTCCAAGGATATTTGTTGGCTGAATTCCATTCTATGCAGTTACGGGACTAAGGTCCCCATTTCCATGATAGCTGACTGTTGAGGGCCACGCCCAACTTCTAGAGCTGCCTGAATTCCTTGGCAGGTGGCCCCTGCATTGTCAAAGCCAGTAACAGAAAACCTCCCTCACATCAAGTCCTTCTAACGTTTCAGATCTCTTTAGCCAGGAGCGACCCCTTCTTTTGTAAGGGTTCACTTGATGAGATCATCCCCAGCAAAGATAAAGCTACTTCCTTCAAGTCTACTGTGCCATACAATCTAATCTAACCAGGAGAGTGATACCTCTTGTAATTCACAAGTCCCACACTTACACTGAGGGAATTATGCAAGAGCATGGATCATTAGGGGTGATCTTAGAATTCGGCCAACTACAATAGGCTTTCCAAAAGTTTTTTCCACCCTGTTTTTATATCCAATCTCTCTAAAGACTCTATTTTCTCCCACACTTGGCTGTCATAGAGAGACGCCATAGGAATTAATGCTTGCAGATGTGCTTAACGGGGCAGGGAGGAGCAAATGTTGGCATGGCCACATTATTTTTTAAGTCTCATGTGTGAATATTAATATAGCTTCTCATAAAGAAAAGAACTACTGACTTCAAAGCGACAGAAGGCCACGAAAGCTGAAATTTGTACATCAAATTTTGGACAATTTAGTCCTTCTGTCTTCTACATAGCCAGCCAGCAGCAATGAGTTTCACAAGTATTGCTGCAGCAAAGGAGAAATCATATTAAACTTGGTATTATCAGAACATCCTGAGTGCTTTATACTTTCCAGTATATTCACGGAAATATATGTAAACCTTATTTTTAACAAGGCAAACACATTTCAGTGTGTTTCACAAAACAACCTTATAGGAGAGTAAGAAAAATTACCAACATGGCTGAATCGCATAAGTTTTCCCAACAAGGAATAGCTTCGGGTCTTAAAAATAAACCAAAACAGTGTCTAGATGGATTTCCCATATAAATGATTGGTCACAACCCAATGAAATAGAGTAATCAACATAAACCAAATGGACAGGTGCTGTTATATAGTTGTCCTGTCTTCTAAATAAGCAAAACGCGAGACCTGACTCCAGTATAGATCTTCTTGTGGATGCTTTCTGCAAAGGCAGATGAGCTACCCCTCTACAAAGAGACAGTTTATGAGCAAAGATTATTATAGCAGAGAAGGCACCATAGTGAAAAAGAAAAGGAACCCAGGTATTAATGCTAGAACACAATCCTGGACACTCTGTCACTTCAAAAAGTGACATTTGGAAGCTATTCTCTGCAGTCTGATGGGTGGAGTACCTTCCCTCCTCTAATTCTATTTCCTAACCTGAGATGACTTCCATGATTGTAACTGAGTCTCTGTCCTTAGGGCCAAAACTCAGCCCTTCTTCCCATCTCCCCCCAAAAAATCCAGATCCAAAATATTTTGGAGAAATGTAGGTTAAACTGAAATTGTATGGGGAGAATAGAGAGGACGACAATGCATATCTGGTTTAAACTTTATTGGGATTCCACATCAATCATCTCCGTCCTTTCTCCTAAACTTTCTGCCATTGATAAGCTATGACTTCCCCGTCTCCTCTCACATCTCTTCCATTCTCTTTTACAACTCTGCTCCTGCTCCATTTGGATACCCATCTCAGAAAAATACAATTCTCCTTTAGCTTCTTAGTGCTTGGCAGAAACAAAATTTGGTAGTCAGCCAAAGGAAAAATAGTTTTATTTCACTATGTCCCTAGAGGGCTCTAAGGTCAACCCCCTACACACAGCTTCATGTGACAGAAAGAGACAACACAATATCAATTTCACTCATTTTTATTGAGGGGGCAAGGAAGGTATCATTGAGTCTTCAGCTGAAGTGTGAACTATATACAGAGACATCTTCCCAGCATGAATTCTCACTCACCTCAAGGGTGAGCTTTTGTTAAGTGTCTCAGCCACTTGTAACAGAGAACATGGACAAACCATTTGTGATAGGGCTGAAGGCAGAATTTCCTTTGCATTTTAGAATAAACATAAAAAATCCTTGAAACCAAAGCTACAGAGTATGAAAATAAGCAGTCAATAGATCTTCATAAGCTCAGTGAGTCAGCCTAGCCTCATGCAAAATATTATTTAGAAATGGCAGAATGAAGAAATGGTACCTGTTTTCTAGAATAATTAAAATCACTTTCACTGTGAAATAATAGTTTCACCACATCTAAGTTAAAATATACTCTTTCCTTTATTGTCAGGAGATAAAACTCTCAATCCTGGGCTCATAAAACTTATGAGTTTAAAATTTGTGTTAGAGGAAATATTCTATTCCCTCTTCAGATCCAACTTTTAGGTTGGTAGAACAATTGAATTTATGCCAGTAGCTTGGATCATCCATGTCTGTGGCAGGAAGATAGCATTGTTGTCAGAGCCCGCTGTTTGTATCTGCGTCAATAAAGATGTTGACAATTCGACTTAGAGTGAAAATCATTCCAAGCAAAGGCTCAAAATTGTGCAGTAGAATAAAAAGGAAGATTATGTAGAGAAAAAGTGCTAAATTTTCATATCCCCTTCCTCCTAGTCGGGGCGTTTGCTGTTTTCTGGAGTAAATGCAAGTGCTGTTGACTTCATGGATAGGTCAAACTGGCAACAAATATGTTACTCTGGGGCTTTGAATGTGTAAAAGGCAGACAGGCTTAATAGTTGCTTCTTAGTAATAATAATAATGATAGTAAACCTCATTATTAAACTTGTACACTATATAGTCACTAAAAAAATATTTATTGTGTACTTAACTAAGTGCCACTCATTTTCCTGCCTTTTAGAGATACAGTGGAGAATAACAACAGAGTCCTTAGATCCATGAATCTTAAACAAATGTAAAGCAGGAAAGGCTGCAGTAAAAGCTAGGAGAAAAATAAAAGGGGATAGGAAACCGTAGGTGTTGTTATGGTATATTCTAAACTAAAAGAGGCATTCATTGTTATTTGAGAAAAGAATTAAAGAAGTGAGGGAGTGAGAGAGTGAGGCATAT